ATGTGTTTGGCGCGCCAGTGCCTGCAATGGCTGTTGGCTGTGGCGTGCCTCAGCACGACGCTGGGCGCGGTGGCGCAGTCCGGGAGTTGGCGCGATGCCGCGAACCCTGGCATCCCCCGCTACCAGCACGCGGCGGCGCTGCTGGCTTCTGGCGATGTGCTGCTCACCGGCGGCTCCGGCAACGCCGGTGTCACCGCGACCGTCATGCGGTACCAGTCGCGCGACAACAGCTGGACCGCCTTGCCTCACCTGCTCGAGCCTCGGGAACTGCACACGATGACCCCCCTGGCATCGGGGCGGGTGCTGGTGGCGGGCGGCTATGCCGGGTGGGCGCTGGCATCCGCGGAGCTTTACGACCCGGCCTCAGGCACCAGCGTGGCCACCTCGCCACTGAGCGTGGAGCGATTTCGGCACACGGCCACGCCCCTCTTGTCTGGGCGTGTGCTGGTGGCGGGCGGCAATCTGTCGACGGATTCAGCCGAAGTGTTCGTGCCTGGTTCCCCTGGCACATGGAGCGCGACCGGCGCCATGCAGGTGCGGCGGCAGGAACACACCGCCACCCTGCTGCTGTCGGGAAAGGTGCTGGTGGTAGGCGGGTACTCGGGCGCCGGTGTGGAGTCGAGTGCCGAGCTGTATGACCCCGCCACCAATACCTGGTCGGCCACCGGGTCGATGGCCCAGGCCCGCACCGAGCACACCGCCACGCTGCTGCCCTCGGGGCTGGTGCTGGTGGCGGGCGGGCGCAGCGCAAGCGCGCAGCTCGCATCGGCTGAACTCTACGACCCGGCCTCCGGCTCCTGGTCCAGCGTGGGGCCGATGGCCCAGGCTCGCTCCGCCCACGAGGCCGGACTGTTGCCCAACGGCGAGGTGATCGTGTTTGGCGGCGAGGACGTGCCGCGCGCAGGCTTTACAGCCACCACCGAGCGGTTTGATCCGCAATCGCACACCTGGCGTGCCGATGCGCCGCTGGGCACCGGGCGCATGTGGCATACGGCCGTGGTGCTTGCCGATGGCGAAATTCTGGCATTGGGCGGTGCGGGCGCCAACGGGGCGGTGTCCAACGCAGAGCGCTACCACAACACCGCCGGAGCCGGATTGTGGAATGACGCGCAGGACATGCCGTCGCCGCGCAGGGAGCACCGCGCCTTCCTGCTGGACACCGGTAAGGTGCTGGTGTTTGGGGGGTATGGCAGTACTTACCTGCGCAGTGCGGACCTGTATGACCCGGCCGCCGACCAATGGGTCCCGGCGGCGCCCATGAACCACCACCGCTACCGGTTCGAGGCGGCCAAGCTGCTGTCGGGGCATGTGCTGGCGACGGGGGGCTGGTCGCTGAGTACCTCGTACTCGCGGACCGCGGAGGTGTATGACCCGATCGCCGACGCGTGGAGCAACGTGCCCGACATGGCCGAACCCAGAAGCCGACACTCCGCCACGACCCTCTCAGACGGCAGGGTGCTGGTGGTCGGCGGGGAAGGCTCTGGCAACACGGCCGGCAGTGCGGAGCTGTTCGATCCCGTCACGCAGACCTGGTCGGCGGCGGCCAACCCGCTGCGGCAGCGCATGGGGCACGCCGCCGTGCTGTTGGGTTCTGGCAAGGTGCTGGTGGTTGGCAGCGAGGGGACGGGTGGCGAATCGAACAGCGAACTCTACGATCCGGCTGCCGACACCTGGACGGACGCCGGAAGCCTGGGCCAGGCCGTTGGCGGCCCAACCCTGACCCTGCTGCCGTCCGGAGAGGTGCTGGCCGTTGGCGGATACGGGAGCGGTGGGTTCAATGGCCACGCCTTGCCGTCGGTGTATCTCTACAACCCCGTGTCCGGCTGGAAGCGCTTGGCCGACATGTACACCCCACGCGCCAAGCACACAGCGCAATTGCTTTCCGATGGCCGGGTTCTGATTGCTGG